ATTATAATCAACAAAAATGTAGAAAAAATAATAAATTTGGAAATAAAACATAAAAGAGTCTTTCATACTCATTAATTGCAAATTACCATGCTTATAAAAACATTCCTGAGTTTTTATTATTATTTTATAATGGTGTATTATTATTTACAATTATTTATATAAATGTAAACAACAACCACTATATAAGTATATTTGACTATATATCTAATTACAAACACAAATGTAAGGTGAGCTTAAATGAATTGTACTTCATTCGAGCTCCAGAAAAAGTCAATATCTTCGTCCAGACGCGGAAAAAATATAATGGTTTTCACATGGACTCGAAAAAAGGGCATAGCTTTCGTCTGAGCGCGAGAAAAGGGCATAGTTTTCGTCCAGACTGCGGAAAAAGGCATAGTCTTCGTCCAGGCTTCGAAACAGGGCATAGTCTTCGCCCGGGGCGTCGATGTATGAGTGTAAATTCTAAGCGTATCAAGTCATCTTGAAGATTTTTTTCGTTTTCAAACCTTTTGTCAAACTCAATGAACTTTTCTTGACCTTTTATGGGCAGTGATAAGTCATATTTATCAATCATGTCTTGTAGTGTGAAGACATCGCAACGAATTAACAATCTCTCATCTAATTTGGTTTCAATTACTGTCAGACGTAAGTGCAATCAAACAATAAATATGTAGTAGCAGTTTTACTTGAAAAACACTCAACTTTTTAAATTTTAATCCATAATCCATACCTGCAGAATGTAAAAAAATGCATTTATGCAAACTCCATGACAAGGGAGGTGGAAGACCTCCTTGAACGATGTTTTTTATTAATAGCAAATCTTCTTCTCCGTATCGAGGGTCTAGGTACCTACACATAAAGACTTTTGTGCTCTTATTTGTATCAGTAAATCTTACTGGTACAACAAGTTTATTGTTGAGCTCGTCGTGTGGCGAATCAAAGAATCGGACGACCAAGAAGTCAGTAATCTTGACAAATACTTGAGACATCTTAAAATTCGTTTTTGTAACTTTTTATACAAAATTTACATCTAACTTATGAAGCGTACCACTTGAGATTCAAAGCAAACTTGAAACCTTTCAAGTGAAACTAAATATGGTCATGCTTTGAAAAATGTGTTTTATTAGAATGTAGAAAGAAAAATTATTCACCTTGAAATGATGCTTAAGCTCTTTCACTTTATCACAGGACAATACTGAAGTGCCAAGTGAGACATAATGATAGCAGAAGCTAATAAGTTACAGTCAACTTTGAATAAAAAGTTTATACATAATGATTTGAAGTATAAATAATTTTTAGCACGTTAAAATGCTTTTTTTCAATTAACACAGAATTCTGTAGTCAACTTAACAAAAAGGATAAGTTGTATCCACCCTACTCAAAAAAAATTAATGCAAGTAACTCAACACACGTCTGTCGCACTTCTTGCACAAGCGTTGTGCCAACGTGCCTTTGTGCACTTTTTGTTCACGTCTGTTGCACTTGCGAGTGCACTAAAATGAAAAAATTAATGCAAGCAACTTTATGTAAGTCTGACGCACTTCTTGCGCAAGTGTAGTGCACATGCGTCTGTGTGCACTTCTTGTGCACGTCTGATGCACTTCTGAGTGCGTTNGTGCACTTTTTGTTCACGTCTGTTGCACTTGCGAGTGCACTAAAATGAAAAAATTAATGCAAGCAACTTTATGTAAGTCTGACGCACTTCTTGCGCAAGTGTAGTGCACATGCGTCTGTGTGCACTTCTTGTGCACGTCTGATGCACTTCTGAGTGCGTTAAAGTGAAAAAATTAATGCTAGTTACTTTATGCAATTCTTGTGCACTTCTTGTTCAAGCATCTTGCAGCAGATTGATGTTCATCTGCGGAAGCAGACCGATCATCGTCTTATGCAATTTACTTATGCGTGTTTGTGCTACCAGGAAAATGTACATCATTTTATTATCATAATACTGTTCAATGCTTTTAGCATTGATGTTGACAAAATATATGCATTATATCAACGAGGCACGTTGAGAGTTACATACAAATAACTGCATGAAAAAAAAGTTAAGTACAAGAATATAGTTTTTTACTAGTTTATAATTACAGAACACAACAAAACTTTATAAATATTACGCTGCTGTGCCTTTTTATCTAGAGATCCATTGGTGTCTAATGTATACTTCTTAATTGTCCGCTGCGTTCTTCCACTGTCCCAGTCAGAGCAATTATTAATAATTGCTCCAATGGCTTGTTTAATGATTTTTAATCATTCGATTTGACCATTGTCCAGTTGAGCGTAACTATTCAACATGGTGTCTGAAAATATATTTAATTTTATGCCTTTAAGTTATAAATTATGAAAAAAATTTTCTACTTTTATACAATTACCATTTATACACATAACGAATGAAGTAGCTGACATAACTGGTTTATTTCCAGTAGAAACTTGTGTCGTATACTTCAATAGCACATCTTTGCTAAGAAGTATTTTTAATATTATTGTTAAATTATCCTTTGCCGTGTTGTTGACATTTGTACTTGATGTGACAAATTTTGCCTTAGAAAAAGGAAATATTTAATTAACAGTGTAACCGAAATACGTTGACGCCCCGGCCGAAGACTATGCCCTAATTGGCCCTGGACAAAAACTATGCCCTTTCGACGTCCTGGGCGAAGACTATGCCCTTTTTTCTAGTCCAGACAAGAACTATGCCCTTTTTTGGTCCCCGACGAAGACTCTGCCCGTTTTTTTCGAGTCCGGGTGAAGACTATGCCCTTTAGTCTAGTCCGGACAAAAACTATGCCATTTTTTCTGAGTCTGGGCTAAAAATATGTTTTTTTCTCGCGTCTAGATGAAAACTATATTTAAAAACACCCCAATATTATTTAGTAACCCCTCTACTAGCTACTAGTACGCTGGAAGAAGCTCACGAATACGAAGCTTCTGAAAACGATTTAACATTTTAAGATTTCTCAATACTTGTGTATAATTTTTATATCGATATAAGTTTAATCTTCACATCGAGATTCACATGTACGTGAATCTACAGACGCCTTTGTAAAAAAACAACATGTAATCATTATTCTTAGCAGGTCTAACGGCTTCAGTATTTGGAATTTTGGTAAGTGTTTGAAAAAAAGGGTTTTTGAGCTTTTTTTAAAAAGATTTCTTAAATTGTATAAAACAATAACTGTAATTTATTTAAACTTGCTAATTTATTCATTTGTTAAAAAATACTTTGTAATCTAAGTATGCATGTCTCACCAATAATAATTGATAAAAAAAAGTTTAATTTTTTCTCTATTTTCTTACGAATATTACATTTTATTGTATCACAAATTGTCCAAATTTTAATAAT